AAAAAAAAAAAAAAAAGTTAAAGAAGCGATCACCAAACATGAGAATGAGGCACAGTGGATCATGGCTGTAATCCCAGCACTCGGGAGGCAGAAGCCAAAGGCTTGCCATGAATTTGAGGTCAACCCAGGCCAGAATGAGTTCGAGGCCAGCCTGGGCAACAGAGTGAGATCTTTTTTTTTTTTTTTTTTTAAGTAAATAAGTTAAGGCTGCACAGATTTAACAGCAGAATGCTGAACAGCAAATGGGAATGGGAATGGTTCAGCTCAAAAGAGGGAGAACAGGAAGTGTCCCCAAGCTCCTGGCAGTGACGTGCAGCACATGAGTTGGACTCAGGAAGTGGGCCTAGCCCCTCCCGCCTGTGAGAGATGCAGTTGCAAAGGCGAGGGTGAGCATAAGGCACGGAAGGGTCCTCTTTCAGGGAGAAGTGCCAGGAGAACAGTGAACTAGGGAGACTCCTCAGGACCCAGCTCATCACCTATACATGTACAAATGAGAAAATTCAGGCCTCTAACATTTTATTGCTCTGATTCAGTTTAAATTCAAATAAAATGCTCTGGGTGTTTGTGCATGTAATGTCTTCATCTTATTCAGCAACTATTTACTGAGTTCATATAATACAGCAGATGCTATTTAGGTGTTGGGGCACAACAGAATGACCAAACAGTTGGGGACCCTACCTTCCTGGGGATTATATGTGGTGACTGAAACAAATACAGAAAAATATCCAGATAAAATGCACACTAACGCCTGTAGAGTTAAGTGATGTGGAACAAACTTAACCCAGAAGGAGCTTAGCATTATCTCAGCGGTGTGACTGAGCAGGGACTGCAGGGAAACTTCTGCACAGAGGACAGAAGCTACCGAGGCAGGAGCCACACTTGGGGTACATATTCATGCCTAAAACCGGTGGGCTGGAACAATAGGGGTCAGGGAGAAGTGACAGAGGTTGAAAGCAGGAGGAACCCTGTCAGTGGCAGTGAAGACATGGCTGTGAACTCCCAGACAGAGAACTATAAGAGGTAGCATAGAGATGGAAAGTGACCATGCTGTAAAAGGCCATCTTGGGGCTGTGGCAATAGCTCAACAGGTAAAGCACTTGTCACACAAGCATGATGACTGGAGTTCACACCCTCATGGTCACAAATGCCAGGTGGACTAAAATCCCAGACTGTAAGAGGCAGAGATAGGGTATCCTGGAACAAACTATAGTGGCTACCCAAATCAACAAGTTCTAAGATCAGCAAGAGACCTGTCTAAATATGTAAGAGAAAGAACAACTGAAGGAGACACCAGAGGTCAACCTACACACACACACACATATACACACACACAGAGGCACACACACACACACACACACACACACACACACAGAGGCACACACATATCTACATGGGAACACACACATAAACATATACACACAGGTACATACATGGGACACATATGTCTACATGGGAACACACACAAACATATACACACAGGCACACACATATGTCTATGTGGGAACATATACACATAATATATATATATATATATATATATATATATATATATACAGGAACACACACACAAAGGAACACACACACAAGAATACACATGGGAACATACCTAGCACACACAACCACACATGAGAACACATATACCCATTTGGAAACACAGATGCATACAAGCATGTTTCACAGGCACACATATGCGAAAACAAGCATAAAGACAGTCTCCAGCCTGAATATTGGAGACTAATCATGTGAGGCTTGGGAGTGGAGGCTGAAAACAGTCAGGGGGCCAGGAAAATAATCCCAGCAGCAGTGGTCAGACATTGATTGAAAAGAGTCCTGCCGAGGCTTATTGATGGATTAGATGTGAAGAAAGAAGAGAATGAAGGTAGACTTGACTCCAGGATGTTTGGTGTGAGCCACCTGAAGAATGAAGCTGCCACTAGAGGGATGAGAGAATATGTTGCTGAAAGGAGTTTTGTAAAGTCTGAGATGCCCTGTGGATATTGGAATCCTGGGTTCAAAGTAAATCAGGCTAGGAATGAATGTGTGTGTGTGCACGTGTGTGCATGTGTGCATGTGTGCATGCGTGTGTGTGTGTGTGTGTGTGTGTGTGCGCGCGCGCGCGCGCGCGCGCGCGCGCGTGCGTGGGGCAGGGGGGGGGGAGGGTGTCAGAGGACAACTTTCAGGAGTTGGTTTTTGCTTTCCACCCTTTGGATCCCAGAAATCCAGCCCTGGCCATCAGGCTTGATGACAGGTACCCTTACCGACTGAACAGGGTCCCAACATTTACTTTCTAAAGCATTCTAATGACACTGTAACGTAGAAACATACTAATTTTATCACAGTCTGCAGGAGATTCTGGGTGAACTCACTTATCACCATTTCGTCAGACGATGCCACGAAGATTCAAATCCCTTCTTAGTGGGCTCAGCAGTTCATAAAGTGGAGAACACCTTGTTCCTGTCATACCTCACAAGTGACTACATCATCCTGTCATGCCTCAGTGGTTATTTGTCATTTATTTAATGTGTATATTTAGTGTGGGCCAGAGTTTATGTATGTGTACTATGTGTGTGCATCAGATCCTCTGGAACTGGAGTTACAGGCAATGGTGAGCCATACAACAATGTGGGTTTGGGGATCAAACCAGGTCCTCAGCAAGTGCTCTCAATTGCTGGGTCCCTCTCAGTTTTATATCGTGAACTTTGTATCATTTTAGAGCAGAGACATTAATGACTTCCAAAGATGTCTATATCCAACACTTCAAACCTAGGCATGTCCCAGCCTTTCATGGAAAGAGGAATTTGGCCTATGTGATAGTGCTGGCTCATGAGGTGGGAAAATGATCCTGAGTTCTCTGGGGAGTCCAAAGCCAACATGAGATGGGATGTAGGGGTTGGGCAGGGATGACCAAGTCAGAGAAGATGTGCAGATGGAAACAGCCTGGAGGCCAGAGCTTGGGGCAGATTCTCAGCTAGATCCTTCAGAAGAATGTAGCCTGGCCACACTGAGTTTTTGACCCGCAGATGCATTTTCTGATTGCAAGAAACAGCATGTACATAAGCCAGTCAGCTTGGGATAATTTGTGACATCACCAACGGGAAGTGTTATGTAGAGGAACATAAAGAAATGTGAACACAAGTTCGTATACTCTTGCTGATTTTATTGTTCTTTAACAATACTATAAAACAGTATGCTTACCTGCCTTCGATGCAGACCCTCAGGACACCCTTCCCACAGAATCGCACAAGCTCAGTGACAGAAACCCTCCCAGGGTTATCCAACCCAGTGGCCAGGATAGCTATGGATAAGGCCATCACAAAGGCTTAGCTTACTTACAATATTGTGGGATTTTTAAAATTCTTTTTTATAATTCGATTGTGTGGCAAAATGTTGGGTATTCCCTGGGTCTAGACAAAGAGAAATAATAGACGGAGTGAAAGGATTGAGCACTGCATTGGCTTCTCTCAGGAAAGGATTGCAGTGGATGGAGGGAGGAGATGAAGTCAAATAAGCATATAGGGACCAGCTTGCACCCAGCCTCTCGGGTGAAGGATGCTGGCGTGTGTGGCGGGGAGCCATCATAAGTTTGTAAACACCGTGACAAGAACTTCCTTACATTTTACACATTGGCTAGTGGGTAGGGAAAGGTGCCTGGAGTAGAAGAAAACAAAGTCAGATTCTGCCTTTGTGTGGGTGGGACAGTCTGTGGTGGCTTCCATTGCTGGCTGCCACATCGGGCATGTGCAGATGGCGGCAGAAGGCAGAACTAGTAAGAACAGCTGGACAGGGGCCAAAGGGAAGAGAGCAAACCCAGATGATGTCAGTTGGAGCAAGGGAATGAATGGCAGAGGCCTTTCTGATATAAAGAAGACTGAAAAAGAACTGAGGGAATAGCACCTGGTGAAGCTGCCAGCCCTTGGTGCTCCACAGCTCGCAGGGTCAGTCCTGAGGACTTGGGAATTCTTTGTGATAGAAACACACTTTTGCCTTGTCACAACACTGGAGAAATGTCCAGCATTAAATGGGAAATAGACAAAGAACTATCTGGACAATGGTTCATTTTTGGTATGGCTGCCTCCAAATCACCCCTAAAAATGAACATACACCTTATTCGTGAGGTGTCTGACAGGAGACCCTCTCAAGTGGTATGTAGGCATATGTGCCGTTTCTAGTCAATCTTCAGCATTCATGACTTTCACTGATGGAGAGGAACATTTTCCTTTATACTTGGTGTAAAAGTAAAAGATTTATTTTTAATTGGAACTTGTTTGTTGACAAAAACAGTAATTGTAAACATTTACTTTCACACATATTATAATCTACCTTAAAGTAAGTCAGTTCTTGACAAAGATGTGTTGCAAAATCCTTCATAATTCTGGATAATTTAGCTGAAGGAAGACTTAAATTTAACTACTCAGAGTCAAACTGAGTAATTATATTAAAATATGGATACCAGCTTGATCTTTCTTCCTATTTGATAACTTGACTTAAAGATGACTGCTTCAATGTCAAGTTCAGCTCTGCAGAGTTTTGAAAGCCACAGGTGTGGAGGCGCGCACATGTGCACATGCAAAATTGATTAAAATCGGAAAATATGGCCACTGGATTTTAAGTGGATTGGTCACATCCAAACTATCTAAAAAGACAAGTTAAAAATCTTCTTGTGGTTGAGACAGTATAACATGTTTCAAAGTAATAGTACCTCTCTCTCTCTCTCTCTCTCTCTCTCTCTCTCTCTCTCTCTCTCTGTCTCTCTCTCATATTTGTTGTTCCTTTGAGACAGGGCTTGAGCTCACTATGTAACCAAGAACTCCTTTGAACTCCCGCCCCCCCCCCAACCCCGGAGCTCTGGGATTGTAGGTGTGCACCCGATACCCAGATTCTGGTCTCTTAAAAATTATTACTTCTAGAAATTTAGGTCTGGGGTAAATTTGTTTTCTAGACTCATAATAAATCAGTACTGACAACTAAGTTTTCTCTCCCCCCTCCTCCCTTCTCTCCAGTCTCTGCCTCCTTTACTCCCCTAGAAGATGGTACGAGAACAGTACACCACAGTCACAGAGGGCACCCACATAGAGAGGCCCGAGAACCAGCACGTCTACAAGATCGGGATTTATGGCTGGAGGAAGCGCTGCCTCTACCTCTTTGTTCTTCTCTTGCTTATCATCCTTGTTGTGAATCTTGCTCTCACAATCTGGATTCTGAAAGTGATGTGGTTTTCTCCAGTGAGTATTGCCTTTTCCCGAACATGCTCCAAATGTGCTGGATTATTGTCTTAATGGTTTGTGGATAGAAGTTCCCTGTCTTTGTCGGGATTTTCTGTAGCTAAATGGCATTGTGCTCTGACTCACTGTAAACTACGATGTGTTGATTGATTGGGTGAGGGGTTCTTATTGCACTGTATTTTTCGTTAATCATTATCTCTATAGGGTAGGGAAAGTCTAATCTTTGTGACTGGTTGAGTCAGCATATCTTAATGATCATTTGTAGAATGTAGTCTATAGAACTATATAAATCACAGATTTTCCTAATGCCATCGTCCTATATGTTTAGCATTTGCACGTCTGCTGTTATTAAGTTTATATTTCTATAAAATACCTTTTGGCTAGTTGTGTTTATTGTCACTTAGTGTTGTCATAGGTGATATTACCCTTTCTTTCTAAGAGGCCGAGACCCCCAGGTGGATTCATTCTTACAAGGATTTGAAGTTAATTCCCTTTACTGTGCAGCAGTGGGATCTGCTACCCAGGACTGTGCAATGAAGAGCCTATCACTGGGCAGCAGTGCACAGTGTTTTTAGCGGCCTCTGGGGCATTTCCTTAGATGAGTGTTTATCATTAAGTAGCTGGTGATTCTTCACTGGGAGCTGGGGAGTGGAAATAGATAACATCTTGGCAATTTTTATTTTGATCTGAGATGTCATCATTTGGAGAGAATTAAAAACTCAGAAAAGAATGCAGCTACACAGCTGATCTTTGGCTTTTGGCGAATGCATGGTGATCCTGGGAGAGCATCCAGATACAACATTTGAGCCAGGCATGGTGGTGCACATGCTTAATCCAGAACTCAGTGGGTAGAGGCAGGAGGCTCTGGAGCTCCAAGTGATCCTCGAGTGTATAGTGAGTTCAGGGATACCACAGACTGCATGAGACACTATCTCAGAGAGCCAAAAATGTCTGTGTGTTTGGCATGGAAGACAGCTCAGTGAAGAGCACTTACCAGCATGCATGGAACTTGAAGTGAATGTCCACCACCTCAATCCTGCCAATCACCACTGTTTTTTTTTTTTCCCTAAAATCCCACTCACAACTCTCAAAATCTCCTTTAAGTTGAAATCTACCTCAGTGTTACAACATCACCAATTGGTCTAGAGCAGGATCCTGTCCCACCCCTGAATAACTCAGATCCTATGCACCAACATGAATGGCATTGTAAGTTCCCGGATGGCCATGGTTTTAATGCTGTTATTTGCTGAGTCAAAGCAGCTGAAATTGTAAGCAAGCTCCATATCATTTCCTTGGAAACTTTGCTTATCTTTCTGAGCTTGAGACTCAGAATGAGCAAAACCACTCCCCATCAGAACCCTACGGATATATTCTTCACCCTAGATATTTCAACCGGGACCCAATCTTTTCAGTGAACATGCTGGTGGGGAACTGAGCACAGATGGACCTCATCTTGTGATGGAGCCCAGTAGTACAGTGCCTGAATTATGTTCTCCACGACTGTCAGCAGTAGGGGCAGTCGGCTTCTTCCATTTCTCCAACATGTGCCAAGCCAGAACCTCTTCTGTGTTGATATTGAAGCCCATCAGAGGGCTCTCTAGGACCCTTCACAATAGACTTGTGTCCCTTCAGACATATGATAACATGTTCTAGAATGTGATAGTCAACAGGAGATGCAGTGAAAATCAAAACTCTTTCTAAAAAAAAAAAACAAAAAAGAGTTGCACAACTCAGTGTGGAATGAAGTGTGCATCTCAATGCCCTTTGCCTCTGTCTTAGTTACTTTTCTATTGCTGTGATAAAACACTGCAACCAAGGTAATGTATAGCTGAAAGCCCAGAGACTCAATGGCAAACACAAGACAATTCACTTCCTGTCTTGTGTTTGCCATTGAGTCTCTGGGCTTTCAGTTTCTTGCCCTGGCTACCATGCCTGCCTGCTGCCATGCTTCCCCACCATGATGGTAAGAGTCTTCTCCACCTGTAATGTAAGCCTAAATAAATTCTTCCTTCTATACATTACCTTGGTTGCAGTGTTTTATCACTAGCAGTAACATCCTCCCTCCTAAACCTCCCCATACAGTGCCACCTACTGGGGACCAAGCATCAACTTCTTGAGCTTGTTGGGGTGTCTCATTCAAACCACAACAACTTTTTTCTTCACTAGTGTACTTGATAGAACAAATGATTCTGAGGTCCCTCCTGGTATAAAGTTGATGTTGCTATGCCCAATGAACTTTGCTCGTGGATTTTAAATGTTAGCCTCTTATTTTTGTGGACCCAGATTCTCAATCACATAAAACATTTGTTGCTCTATTATTGTACGGACATAGCACTGAATCCTAACTTTATGATTATTTGCACTTTTTTTTTTATAAAATCAATTAGAAGATTATCATAATAGCCACTAAATACCTTTATATTGTTAAAAATCTTTCCTTTTAAATGCCTTTATTTCCTTCTCAATAACCTACTTGACAGAATTGTAAGATGTCCCCATGATGTCCACCCACTGGGTTACAGCCCCTGTAACCCTGCCTTTGAGTGTGGGTGGGCCAATGGTTTGCTTCATCCAATAGGAGATGGTGAAAGTGATGGGGCAGCCTTCCTTCTGTTACCTTATAATTATACCAGGGAGGAGTCAGCAGGTGTAAGTAAGGCTTCAAATCAGTTGATTCTGAATTCATGGAAAGGACTATTCTTGGTGGGTTGGCCCTTGTTGTAAGGACTTAGATCCCTGCTATAGGGATTCTTGTAAGACAGCAGTTCTCAACCTGTGAGTCATGACCCCTTTGGTGGGTCAAGCTACCCTTTTATGGGGTTGAATATCAGATATCCTGAATATCTAATATTTACATTATGGTTCACAACAGACACGAAATTATAGTTATGAAGTAACAATGAAATAACTTTATGGTTAGGGTCACCACAACTGTATTAAAGGGTATGTATTAAAGGAACTGTATTAAAGGGTGGCAGCTTTGGAAAGGTTGAGAACCACTGTGGTAAGGTGTTCCCCAACTGACCTTGTGTTGCTGTGCTTAGAAGGTTCCTGGAGCAACTTAGTATCTCCCTCTGTGTTGTCTTACACTCAGTAGGCAAGTGGACTTGCTATTAAGCCTGACAAGCTGTGTTGGATTCCTGGGACCCACAAGGCCAAGGGAAAGAACCAATTCCTGAAAGTTGTCCTCTGACACAGACTACGGCACATATGTGCCCACATGTAATCCATCCACACATACATACATATCTTTAAAAATAAAAGAAAAGCACTAATAATAAGGTTTATTTTCTTTTATATGGGCATGGGATCTTAGATGTTTATTATAAAATGATTTGTTAAATCTTACATGAATCTCCCAAATAGACCCTTGTATTTGCAAAAGATTTTTAAAAATGAATATTGAATACAGACAACTAAAGTTTCAAGTAGACATTTAGGAGAAATACAGAAAAATAAATGGAATATATGGAGATGTGGAGATGTGTGTGTAATTTTAGTTAGCCCAAAAGAAGGGAAAAATAAAGCAATGGAAAGCTCATATCTCTTTTTCTTTAACAGATAGGAATGGGTCACTTGCATGTTACACAAGATGGACTTCGCCTGGAAGGGGAATCAGAGTTTTTATTTCCACTATATGTCAAAGAAATACGCTCCAGAGTGGTAAGAAGACTGTGTCTCACGTGATTTGTAAAAAATAATTAATGGTTAAGCACAGCAATTCATGGTATGTCCAATCTAACACATTCATGGTATGTCCAATCTAACTGTGTGCTACTGGACAACCTTACTTTACAGAATATATGCTATAAGGATTTTACTCTTAAACATTTCAGCTCTGAGTTTAGTAGCCTCAGCAATTTATTCCATAGGGGAAAAACATAATTGAGAATGAAAAATCTTTACCCAGAACAATTGACTATCCCTGCATTGATATTGTGGGATATTTGTTTAACTAGGTAACGTTGTGTTACATTTGTTTGTGTTGCAGAATAATTATTTAACTATGTAAAGATGTGTTGCTCTTTCATCCTGCCCGCCTAAGGCACCTGACTGGTCTAATAAGAAGCTGTATGGCCAATAGCTAGGCAGCAGAGAGATAGGTGAGGCTTGTGGGCAGATAGAATAAATAGGAGGAGGAATGTAGGCTGAGAGAGACAGAAGAGAAAAGGGAGAAAGCGAGGGAGATATAGTGGGAAATTACGAATACGGAGCCAAGTGGAAATATAAGGGTATTTAATAGGGAAAAGTCTTACTTACAGAGCGACCTAGCCAGCTGGCGTGGCAGCGGTCTGTACACAAGCCCAAAAGTGAAACCGAAAGAGAGACCGAAATCCCATGCAAATCTCGCTCTACGTCACCCTGACCACGCCCTTGCAAGCGTGGTCAGGCACACCTATAGCCAGCCCCTAAGTAGGCGTGGCTACAGCTTCCCATACAGGGAGATACCTGGGCCAACCAGCCAGGCAGCTACCAGCCATTTAGACAGAGTAGGACATACAGAAGGAAAGAAAGGTAAAAAGCCGTGAGGCAAAATGTAGATGAAGAGAAACAGGTAAAAATAAGTTATAAAAGCTGGCCAGAAATGAACCTTGCACATTGGTGCAAGCAGCTTTAAATAGACTTGAAAAGACAAAAGAAATTCCTGTCACAGAGACTTTCTGCGTTACTTGCACTGCTTAGAGGCTTGTGAGCCTGAGATTTGCCATAAGCCGATCCAAATCAGGCCCTTCGAAATAATCGTGAACTTGAAAAGCAAATCAAGATTTGCCTTGCCTCCCTGGAACTTAAGAAAGGGATCACAGGGACTGAAGTAAAGATATCCCAAAAGAAGCAACAGGCCTTTCACCAGGGTCTCCTTCCAGCAACAGAGTGACAGCATGAGAGCCACAGTCAGACATGACACAAAGGGAGGTCCTAGAGAGGACCCAGCATAGGGGAAGTCTTATCCAGGGTTGTGTTGTATTATTTCTAGGAATCTTGCTGGCAGGAGGGGCATTCAGATGACCTGTAATTCAGGCGGATTCATGCATGAGTCAGATGTAACATTTTTTCTGGCAGTACATTTACATTAACCCTAGTAGCATTTAGACGTGTTACACACACTGCAGTATGAAGACAAGGAAAATTAGCACGTGTTTTTGTTAGAAAGAAAGTCTGGTGTGAATAAATTAACATATGAAATCTTATTCTTCCCCATTTCCCAATTTAGGGAGTAACAGACAGCAGGGCCTGATGACTAAAGTCAGGTAAATAGATCATAGCCAATGCGACCTTCTAGAATTAACAACTTTTAGTTCCATTTTGTCAGGCTGTCATTTCCAGAATGCTTTAAAAAGAACAGGTTGTACAAGTAGAAAGAAAGTCAGACGACCAACCATATATTAGAGGCTCACAATGTGACATCAATGTCAATCAGGGCATAAAACTACAGAAACCATGAACAGAACAGAGCTGTGCAGCAGTTTGTAACAAATGTGACTTCCCAAGGGTAGCATATGCAGAACAAATCTCCCCTCAGACACCCGCCTGCAGACAATGTTAGTTATGTTTTTTCTAGGGGGCAGTTTTCTATAAAATCCCAGCGAGTGGGCTGCCTCATCAGTCTGAGGAGTTTGCCATTCAGCAGTAACCTGCAGTGCTGAGCTGAAGGAATGTCTTCCTCATGAATGCAATTCAGCATGTGACTTGCCTCTGACTCTAGCTATGTAGTGCCCTCAAAAGCTGTGGGGCTGGGAGTGAGTCAAATGTCTACATCACAAGCATGAGGACCTGAGTTTGCACAGTCATGGTGTCCCACTCTCAAGCTCATACTCAGGAACACCAAGAAATACATGTTGCATACTTTTCAAAATTCTCATTCACTACTATGTGTGCGTGTGTGCGCCGGCTTGAGTGGCGGGTGCGAGCATTTGTGCAGAGGACAACTTTCAAAAGTTGATTCTCTCCTTCCGTGATGGGGTCCAGGGATTGAAGTCAAGTCATCAGGCTTGTGTGACACGCTTTTATCTACTGAGGCATCTCACCTCCCCAAAACTTACATATTTATGAGTACCCTGGGATGTTCCAATACACACACACACACACACACACACACACACACACACACACACACACACTGGGTGATGTTTAAAAGAGATCAGACATGTTTCCTCTAAAGTTTAGCATGTCTTTATTGTTGAAACACTAAAAGTGATGTCTTCCAGTCTTTGAAATGTGTAGTGCCTCACTGTTAACTATGGTCCCTGATGCTCCACAGCTCCTGACGCCTTCTTGTTCTTGTTAAACTGTAACTCATACCCACTAAAGAACCACCTCCACCCTCCCACCCCACCACCAGCCTCCTCCACCCTCCCCACCTTCTAAGTGACCAGCTTCTTCAGACCACACAGCTGAGGAGTCCTGTAGGACTTGTCTTTTTCTATGTTAGACTTTTTATTTTTATAGTGAGAAGCCGTTGCATTTTGAAAATAAGCAGTGTGGTATTTCTTGTAAAATATTAAACCATTCTCCAATTTATCCCCTACAAATGCCTTAAACATAAATAACAATGACAACCAAAACTGTGGATGTCTTGACAAGGATAAAACACTAATTAGAACCTATTTTCCTTGAGAACTAATTACCATGTTAGGAACAGTATTTTCGAACATCATAAAATGAAAGGATTATTATAATCTGTTCTTAGAAGTCAATGCATTTATACCCTGAAAATAATTTAATTCTGGTTATTTAAAAAATTTTCTGCTGTAAGTGTAGAGGATCCAAGGATCTGACATAGAAATTATAAATATAAATTATATATAAACATAAAGATATATTTTGCTAATTTTGAAAATCCTTCCCAGGACTCATCTCTGCTTCTGCAGTCAACTCAGAATGTGACAGTCAATGCTCGCAACTCAGAAGGGGAGGTCACAGGCAGGTTGAAAGTAGGTGAGTACAACACCCTCACTTGTTTCAAGTCTGTGGAGGGTGCCGAACAGATGGAAGCTTTCATCTAAAGAACTGCAAGTTTATTTCTAAGTAATAAAACATGAGTTTTCTAACCTTCATGCTGTGTATAGAAAGAGGCAGCGGGGCAGTGTGAAGGTGTGTGTGTGTGTGTGTGTGTGTGTGTGTGTGTGTGTGTGTGGAGGGGGGTAGTGTTAAACCTGGAAATAGCGAGGAGAAAGACCAAATCCACATTATCTAATTAAAACAAGCTTTATTAAGTACTGGCCAGGTTGATGGACACTGGCCAGGTCCATACCCAGGGTTCCCAGAGAATGGCATGGAATTAGGTTAGTCAGGTGCTCATAAAGGCAAACCCCACAAGATTATGTACTCCTCACCTTCATCCAGTAGGGGGCAAGCATAATCCTGATGTACTTCCTGTCTACATAGCTCCTGCTATGTGTGATCAAGCACATCCTGTGCTGTTGGCCAACCAACCTTGATTACAGAAGTGAAAACACATGTTACCTTACATGAACAACAGCTGCCGGCATTCCAGGAAGTTATCTGTTCTTGGGCAAGTGGGGCTTACAGGTTAGAGGCATTCTTGTTTTATAGATCTCTTAAGCACAGTAATTTAAACTTCAAATACAATTTTAGCCCTCACATTCCCCACTTGAGTTGTATCCTGAATCAAATCCTTGACTCTGTGGTGGGTACCTATACATATTGAGATCTAGTAACCATCAGTTTAATAGCATCCAAATGGAAATGTATGCATCTAGTTTAGGCATTAATGATGCAAGAGCCAAGACTAATTAGCAGAAACCACAGGGCCAAAGGTGATGATCTGTGGTGGTTGAGGGCGAGAATGGGAACTAGCCATTTTTCATCTTGGGTTTTTTTCTGCAAGTTTTTGTTTTGCTGTTTTTTGTTTGATTGCTTTTTGAGTATAACCTGGTTATCTCTAATGATTCCTAAGTGATTTGCATGGAAACAACAATTTTCTCTTAAAGTCACATAATACCTCCTTGTTCTACATGGAACAGGTCGAGTATCATATGTAGAACTAATTCAGCTAATTAATCTACCTGTTGATGTATCTGGGTCTATTTGATTTTAACAGGCACCTTTCCTGGTATGCCAATAGGTACTATGGGTAGCCATTTTGTCACCTATGATAAGGAATTTCCTTTTGACACAGGGTTGCCTGAGATCATCAGAAAACACAGATATTTACATTATGATTCATAACAGTAGCAAAATTACAGTTATGATGCTAGGCATTCCAGGGTCACTGGCATCTCTTGTGTATATTAGTTCCTAACTATATCTGTCACCAAAACCAATAACACAAGTTTCTGCATTGTTATTGTGGTAGGGATGGGGAGGGGCATGCTGTGGGACACACTTGGAAGCCGGCCGCATTCTGTGGTTTGGTAGTGACACAGCAGTTGTGAAAACAGAACCCATGCTGCTTCCAGCAAGCACTTCTAATACCCTGTGCTGATTGGCCCTTCAGGTCCCCAAATGGTAGAAGTCCAGAGTCAGCACTTTCAGATCCGTTCTGAAGACGGCAAGCCACTGTTCACCACCGACGAGCAGGGTGTCACGGTCAGCACGGGCAGACTGCGAGTAACGGGTAGGTGGTGACTACTGGCTGCAGCTGCGTTCACAGCTCTGCTCTGCACTCTGTAAGGAAAAGCATCTGGCTGTAAATGCTTCTTCCTGGCATTTCCTTTGACATTCAGTTTGTACCTGACAGATGATGCCTACCTCATAGAGCTTTTTTCCACTTTCTTCTTTATCTCTTTTCTAGTCGCTGTAGCCAACAGCTTACACCTCTCTCTGTACAGTTCACATATCTGTTTTATCCCCACAATGCCAGATACTTGAATACCCCAATGTGCCCACAAAACAGTCTTTCCCTGGTTGATTCTAAAGTGGAATCAAGCTCTCACTGGGTTCACCGTCCGTATAAAAAAATTCTATGGGAAACATTTCAGAACCTGTTGTAAACGTGTTTGCTATGCTTCTGGAAGACTAGAGGCACAAGCAGACAGGTGTGTTTAAGACCCTAGAAGAATTTTTTCTGCACTAATCAGAAGATCAACAGTAGCATCATTCTCTCTTGCAGTGTTCCTAGGAAGGAGACTCAATCCCTGATTGCGATGTATACATCATTCCCAAGCACTCCCTAAAGTGATGACCTGATGTTGCAGACTATGCCAAGGAAGCACCAGCTTCCTTTCCTTATAAAAGATACTAGGTTTGCAAAAGATGAGGAATTGAAGCCGGTGGGAGGAGCAAGGCAGGTGCCTATAGTCTAAACACTCAGGAGAGAGGCAGAAGATCATGAATTTGAGACTTGGGCTACACGATGAGGGTTGTACACACACACACACACACACACACACACACACACACACACACACATTGCTTAGTAAGTATGAGAGCAAGTAGCTAAGTATCTGACATAGAAACCAATGGCCCAAAATACATATGGTTTAACTTGTCTGCCTTGTAATGAGGGAGACACAACACATATTTAGTAGGAACCAACTGGAATTTTTTCTTTTTTTGGTTTTTCGAGACAGGGTTTCTCTGTGTAGCATTGGAGCCTATCCTGGCACTCGCTCTGGAGACCAGGCTGGCCTCAAACTCACAGAGATCTTCCTGCCTCTGCCTCCCGAGTGCTGGGATTAAAGGTGTGTGCCACCAATGCCCGGCTCCAACTGGAATTTTTATTGTATTCATTTTCTGGACTAGCATTATGTCATCCCATCCTTATGGCTGCACAGCTACAGTGGCCAATACTACACCTCTTAGTCTTGAATACAATTGAACTGCTTCACTCTACAGTGGGCTGTGCTGCTGAGATGGCATGGTTGGTAGGTAGATGTTATCTTCCACTTGGGATATTTTTAGTGTATGGCATGGTTATTGGAGCATAGCACCATTATGAGTTGAAGACAACCTGTATGGAAACATTGGATTTCTTGGCCTTGATGCTATTTCTATACTAGCTACATGCAAATTGTCGGTAGGTGTGTCTCTTGATGTGTAGGAGAGTGTTGGTACCACTAATCTACTCTTGCTGATGGATCAAGACTAATATACACAAAGTCGGCATAGCTCTTGGGAAAGTATCATTGTACTATTGTGCTGCAGGCTGTAGAGAAAAGAGTATAAAAAGACACTTGTATTTCATCAAACCCAAGTCCCTCTGTGATGGACCTGGAACTTTAAGCTAAAATAAACCCTTTCCTCCCATGTTGATTTTAGTCATGGTGTTTATCAAAGCAATAGAAAACAAACTAGGTAACAGAAATTGGTACCAAGGTGCCCTAGGCAGGGGTATGCCCTAGGCATGGGGTGTGCCTAGATTGAGGATGGGGCCTGGTTATAGGTGAGGTCCAGGCAGGGTGTTTCCTAAACCTGGGAGGGACCCAGTCAGGGGTCTAGTCATGGGTGGGACCCAGGCAGGAGTTAAGCTTTGGTCTGGCAGAACCTAGGCCAGGCAAATCTTATTTATTTGAATAAATAAACCTGGATAAATGAGAGTGGGTGTGACTAGATGAAGCGCTGCTGCTAAAATCTGTGCATGTGCCCATAAAACTCAAGGTAAGAAATACTTTCACTATTACCTGAACCACGGATGTGTGTCGCCCTGCAGAACCTCTGTGTCATAGTCTGTTCTCATGTGCTCCGTGCCGTCTGCCCTGCTGCTTTGCCTGGTCCTTACCTGCAAATGTTGAACGTCACAAATGACTGTTTATCGAAAGATTTGCACTAACCACCATGTGCCATAGTCTTCCCTGCTGCCTTAAGGTTGATAAGTAGCTGTGCTTTAACCACAGCCTGGCTTTCCGGCCCACATGGCTCGTTACTTAGGTAATGAAGGCCCATAGCATGCAGACTTAAAATGCAAAACACTGTTCTCAAATGATAATTAAACATAGGATATGACAAACAGTATGTCACCTGCTCCTTGTATCTTTGCACCCTACACACAGGCTTGCCTGTGATCAAGTTCTCTGATAAATGGACTGAGGGGGATATACTAGTTCTGGAAGCACAAGGGGGCTATTTCAGATGTTTAGAATTTTAAAACTGGTCCTTAGAAACAAATAACATAAGACACAACTGTTCTACACACACACACAAACACACACACACACACACACACACACACACACACACACACACACACACCAACTTAGTATTACTGAAAAATACTTGGTAGATACAATGTCGACATGAGTTGTTTATTTTTTCACTCTAATGACTAGTATCTGTAGCTTGAAGGTGATCATCTGTCTAATAACGGGGTTCACGAGCTTGTGTTTTGATTGCAGCCCATCACATGAGGTAGTGTTGAACTTTCTACTCCCAATGGTTAAGCCAATCCTCAAAAACTCTGGATTCTGGGATTAGGGATGCTCAGCCTCTTGGCTGGACTGGCTTTTGATTTGGCTGACTCCACTTCTTGTATTTTGTTCTGATACGTCTCTGGGCTTTGTTTAGGGCCGGAAGGAGCTATTTTTGAACACTCAGTGGAGACACCCCTTGTCAGAGCTGACCCATTTGAAGACCTTAGGTAAGGAGTTTGCTTCCAATATAATCAAACTTTCTTATAACAAACAATGAGGTGTGCCTCACACAATGAGGCAGATGCTCACAGTGTCCCCAGATCAGTTCTGCCTTAGTCCCCTTTACTATCAGGGCTTTCAGCATGTAACTAACTGGTTATTACTTATTAGAACCCAAAACAAATCCAAAACCCTGTTGGGTCTAAACTTTGTTATGGTTCCATGGCTCTTCCTCTCTTGTCCCCACTGCCTCTGTTCAGGCTCCATGGGACTGTGGGAGTCTGCTGATCCCACTTCTGTCAGAGAGACATTGCTCAGTGGACACTGTTTGAAATGCTCTGTTGCTCCCACATCAGCCGTGGGGGGATAGGTGGTGCTCAGGGCCCTACATGGGTAGGGCTGTGCCTGGCACTCCTCTCCCTCACATGTCTCTCAGACTTAGCCTCTACTACCCCTTCCTACCCCAGGCTTTTGACAAACTCTTCCCTCTAAGGGGGTCCCTTTTGTTATGGCATCCATCCCAACCCCACCTGAAAAGAAGCCAAAGCCTCGTGGAAGAGAACAGTGCCCCACATAGACTTTGAAATAAGCATTCTTGAAAGTGCCAATTTACTCAAATTACAGGTGCCCTCCTGTGTGTGTGTGTGTGTGTGTGTGTGTGTGTTTGTGTGTATGTGTGTGCATGTACTTTGGTATCTATGATAAAAATTTACATTATTCATAAACAAACCTCTTAACCATTTTTAGTGTGCAGTTCAGTGGCATTGAGGACATCCCAAGTGTTTTTGAACCATTGTCACAGTCCATCTCTTTTTGAACTGAAATTCCACCCCCCTTAAGTAGTTCTGTTTCCCTTCACACTTGTCTCCCTCCCTCCTGAAATTGTTAGTTCCATTCTGTTTTTGTATCACATACAGTGACTGCGCATGGTATTACATGTGGCTTTTTTATCTTTCTTTTCCTCTCCATTACCCTCCCTTGTTCTCCCTATCCTCTCCCAGCATCCTTCTTCTATTGTCATGTGACATGAGAGAAAGCACGATCACTGTGATCACGATCACAAAGCATCTGGCTTTTTTCACTTAACATGATCTGCAGTCCTATCTATTTTTCCTACCAATGCCATAACTGCATTCTTTACAATGAATAAAGATCCATTGTGTATATGTATAACAATATAATAATAGCAATAAACATGGATGTTGAAATGTCCCTGCAGTGTGCTGGCAGGGTCCTTTGGGGACATACTGAGGTGCAGCAGAGCTGGGTCATGTGGTTGCTCTACTTTCAGGAACTTCCATGTTAACTTCCGGTGACTGGACAACTTTACATTCCCATCAGCACTGTAGGAGTGTTCCTCTTTCTCTAGATCTTTGCCATCACTTTCTCCCTTCTCCCCACAAGGTCTGACCATTTATTTGCTGCTTTATAGTCTTTAATATGACTTTCATTTTTGACTTGATTTAGAAATAGAAGCTCTCAGTCACAACAGTCCAGGTCTCTTGGTAATCTGTTCCTGGGGTATTTCTCTAGCTTCCTTCATTTTCTTGGTCAAAAGGCTAGCGTATTCTGTAGTCCCCTCTTCATTTTTCTTACTGTATTGTTTCTTCAGAGCAAAGCATGGGCATCTGTGCTGCAGGGCATGTGGAGTGGCAAGACACTGAGTCTCAGGTGCCTGGGTCCTGAACTTCCTACCTCTTTATTTAAAGACTTTCACACACATGTTGGCAGACATCACCACCCTAAGAGAGACTGAAGAGTTTTCATATTCTGCTGTCTCTTTTGGGCCCCAACTACTGGTGGCTGGGAAAGAGATATTCAGTTTTATCTTGACACAGTGGCCCACCTAGGCAAAGGGGACTTTGTTTTCTTTGGTCACTGTTCTGGCTGGGATCATATATAGCCATGATGCTGTTTTACCTTGCGTTTCTCATTGGGTGCTGCCCTAATTTTTTCTCTTGTCTTTGTGATAGACTACCCTGACACAATACTCAGGGAAGAAAAGGGTTACATCAGCTCATGGGAAGTCGGGGCCAGCCATGCCTGAAGCGGCTGGTCTGATTTCTCAGCCCACAATTAGAAAGTGGATAGGGATGGGTGCCTGTGCTCAGCTCACTTGATCCATTTTGTTCAGCCTAGGACTGGCCCCAGGAAATGAGGCCACACTCAGTGAGCAGGTGTCCCCACCTCTGCTAACCTAATATAGATAGCCCCACGAGCAGCTCACAAACCAACGGTAACTCCAGCTCCAGGAGATCCAATCCCCTCCTCTAGCCTACTGAGGAAACCACACACATGGCAAACACAGACAAACAGATGGACATGCAACCCCCACCACCGCACACACAAAATCTCTCTCTCTCTCTCTCTCTCTCTCTCTCTCTCTCTCTCCCTCTCCCCCCTCTCTATTCGTACTGGATAAGAAAAATAAGTGCATGGGCTGGAGAGGGGGCTCATCTTCCAAAGGACCTGGGTTCCATTTCCAGCACTCACATGGCAGCTCACAACAGTCTGTAATCCTCGTTCTAGGGGGTCTGATGCCCTCTTCTAGCCTCCAAGGCCACTTATGTGTGCTCACAATCATGAACGCGATCGCGCACGCACGCGCGCACGCACGCACACACACACACACACACACACACACACACACACACACAATTTACAATAAAAAACAGTGTCTTTAAAGATATTCATTCTGGAACATTTTGATTTTCTATAAAAAAACCTACTTTTCTTTCTTTCAGAATCCTTTAAAGACTTTTTTATTCATCTCACTGATCTGTGTGGTGTGGGGGTGGGTGTGTTTTAACCTATCTGGGGATATTGCTGACTGACCGGGACCACCAAGTTGTTCTTGGGTGACAGGACCCAAAGGGGGCTGGCCAGGGATGAGAAAATAAAGAATATAGAAAAGTTGGGACCAGGAAATGCTGCATATGCTGATGGTTTATGCCAAGCAAGTTAATAGAATTGCAGCATCTTATATACAGTTTGCAGGTGGGTGTGGGGCAGGGAGGGAGGTCAGAGATAGCAGAAAGCTGTCACACATGGGATGAAGTCAGCAGCAAGCTAATGAAGCAAGGTTGCACAAGGGGAAAACATATCTTAAGTATGTCACAGATTGAGCACACAGTAGCCTGGAATTGATAACTCTGGTCTCTCCAGGGAGAAAGGCCAAGGTCCCAGGACCAGAAACCTTAACTCCTTAGAGGCCCTGGCAGCAAGTCCACCCCTTGGCCAGGACACAGACCTAGGTTCCTTGTCTTTCCTGGCGGGGGCGGGGGGGGGGGGGGCGGGGGCGGGGTGGGGGGGAGAGGGGAGGGAGCTCTGAGAACATCTGGTCTCTCCCTTGATCTCAGCGGGAGATCTTTTTCAATCTGAGGGGTTCCCACTGCTTTTATGATTCTGGAATGTCAGAACCCTTAGCTCTCAGTGTGTCTTCCTTGTTGTCTAGAGGTGTGCAGTCCTTTGCTTCTGCTCTTTGAACTCCTTGGGAGATGGGGGAATGAGGTTTGGTGCCTTAGTGACCATGGCTGGGAAAAGCCTTCCGTATTTTCATGGATTTGCAGCTGGAGTTCCACATACCCTTTAGGGACTTACAGCCACAATCCTCGGTGACCTCACCAATAGGAGTCAGAGGTATTTCATTTGAAAGTTGTGGCGGGTGTCTCAATATGCCGTCTGGCCTCTGCATCAGAATTTTAATTCTTGCAAAACCCACTGCTAAATTTTACCAAATGTGTAGCTCAATAAGCTCTTAAATCACTACCTCATGATTTTGAATATGTCATTCTTGCACTTGAAAGTCTGCAATGTCCTCTGCAGTTCTGTTTTATTTTATGTGTGGAAAGTATTAAATCCATAGACTTCACTAGAATGCCAAAGACTCCATGCCTCCCTGGCACCCATTCCAGAGCCTTCCCCAGAGCGCCGCCCCCGCCCCCCAGCGTTTTAGTGGTTTGGATCATGCTTTATCTGCACTTAGTAACTGATCTTAGGAAACAGACCCATCTACACTTCTTCACCAAGACTGTCAAAGCCACACAGGATTTGCCTGAAATGCAGCAACTATGGGAGTTGCTTCAGTGTTTTTCCTTCCAAGTGAGAAAAATACAGGTCACAGCAGAGCACCCATGACCCAGATACATGAACAAGCAGCCAGAGCAAGCAAGTGAAGATTCACCAGTGTCAAACAGTGTCAAACCTGATTAGACCAGCAAACCCCATATATGTCCTTTAGGGTATTCTTGCATTCAAAGCAAGATTTCAACATATTCAGTACTCAGATTTGACATGCTCCAGTGTATGAACAAAAGTGAAATTTTGTCTTCTGTTATACATAGTGATGGAGAGTACAGGGTGCTAAAAAGAGGGTAATGGGAGGTGAATATGATCAGAGTACATTATATGTGTGCAAAAGGTCATAACAAAACCTATTTCTTTGTACAAGTAATACATGCTAATTAAATGTAGGAATAAATAAAAACAAGACAGGAATTTCAATTAAACATGTATCCATCTGATTTAAAAGTCTCTCCAGGGCTGGGGGAAAGGTGCAAAGGTCAAGTGCACCTTGCTCAGCAGGCGTGAGGTCCTGGGTTTCACCCCCAGCACTGAAAAGCCTCCACTAAATTCATTCCTAGGGCCCTTCCAAAAGCATGCCACTCCTTCCTAATCCTCATGAGGCTGGTGCCATCCCACAGCAGGCACAGTTCCTGGACCACACAGCTTTTCCTGCCTGTTGTCCCTCTGACTGGTCCTATATTTACAGGTTTCTGTGAAATCAGGCTGTAGCTGTGTGGCTGGGCTGCTGACCAACAACTGCATTGTGCCCTCTGGTGGAATCCATCCTTTTCCAGACAGAGGCAAACAACAGATACTTTCTGGCACATATATTTATGGTTCTTAGGTTCAGTGCAATCCCAGGAGAGACTGATCCAAAGCCAGGTGGGGCCAACAAACACCCTGTCTCCTAACCTCATTATTTCAGCATTTTCAAAAGAAATCCTCCCAGCTGCCCTCAGATCAGGCTGAACTTAAAGAGACTTTTAGAGGGGAAGCTGGAAGATAGCTGTCGGTAGAGTACTTGCCAGGCAGGCACGATAACTTGAGTTCCGTCCATAAAACCACATAAAGGAATCAGGGACAGTGGTATGTGTGCCTGTAACCATGGTGTGAGGAAGTGGCAGGAACATCTGTAGCATGTTCCTGAAGCACGGTGGCCATCCAGCCTTCCCTAATCAGTGAGCTCCAGATCAATGAGAGACCACATCTCAGAAAAATTAAAAGTGGACTGTTGCTAAGGACCAATACCACAGGTTGTCTGCTGGTCTCCACCTACATGTATGTGCACACACATGCTCTCTACTGTGTGTTGAGAGTGTGAGATCATGAGAACATATGCATGCGTGATCATACACACATGTAGAAGACAATTTCAAAAGATTTTTTTAAGAAGTGAAAGCTAGGCCAAATTTTCTGATCTCATGGGAATGTGTAGCAAATATATTTGTCCTTAAACCTGTCTCTTTTGTTCCTTCCTTGTGAGTCTGGACAATAACTAAATAGTATTGTTGTTTAAGCTGTTCACCTATGGTATGGTCTTCTACACAAGGTAACAGCTGCTGCTGATTGTAGCTGTGGACAGAGGGCACTAATTTCATAGGCTGTCATTGGTAGGACACTTATTTCTCTGTTACTCACTGTGTAGGATAGTTGCTGTCAACTAGACACACACTGGAGTTACCTCGGAAGAGGGACCCTCAATTGAGGAACTGCCTTCATCAAATAAACCTGTGAACTTTTTGTGGGGTATTTCTTGATCGATGATTGATTCTGGAGGACCTGGCCCACCATGGGCATGCCATCCCTAGGCAGGCAGCCCATGTAAGAAAGCAGGTTGAGCAAACTATGGAAAGAGAGTCCGTGGACAGCATTTCTCTGGGAGTTCAAGCCTCGAGTTCCTGCCCTGGCTTCCCTCAGCGATGGACTGTAAGCTGCAAGCTGAAAAAAAAAGCCCTTTCTTCCCCTGGTTGCTTTTGGTCAGTGTTATATCACAGCAGTAGTGAGAAAACTACAACACTCATTTCTAGATGTATGAGATAGAGCAGGTCAACATCCAGAGTGACGTCAAAGTCTCTTGGAGTATCTACGTCCCTTGTTAGTGACACTTTCTATATTAGACCGCATGCTGAAGGATTGATATGGTAGTTTATTGTCCTCCTTCAGGCTGTTTGTCCTCCCTGGCTCAGAACTGCCCACCAGAGCCACCCTCCCAACTCAGGCTCTGAGCAGCTTGGGATTGAAGCGTCTTGGCTGTTGTCCCCAGCTCAACATTTATTTTTCTAACATTTATTTTTTTCTCATTTCAGGTTAGAATCCCCAACCCGGAGTCTAAGCATGGATGCCCCAAGGGGGGTTCACATTAAAGCTCACACTGGGAAAATGGAGGCCCTTTCTCAAATGGACGTCATCTTACAGAGTAGTGATGGAGTGGTGAGTTCAAGGACAGAGCTCTGACTCTCTGTGCTGATGAGGCACCCGAGTGCTGCATCCACCAGGGTGTCAGTATGCTAACCTTCTGCCGGCTAGTGATAAAACAGGATGACAGGCGTAGCACAGACAGTGTGGGGTAAGAACTGAGCACACGTGAGGATTGGAAAGGGTCACAGAAGGATTACATTCATTCCATAGTGGGCTCACTTTCTTACACTGTATTCTGCATCACCAAGTCACTTGGTATTTTCAGTTGTGAAAATGCACTGCAGACATGTGGGACATGCAGACATCGAATTTTGCATTTCCTAGTGACTCAGTGTTTCACAGCATGGGGTTATGTATCAACAACAACTGTCCCCTTTTGTTGCCCAGAGCACTCTGCCTGCTTGTACAGAATTGAGTGCAAAATAACATGAACAAGGAAAAACAAGTATTTTTCCAAAGGTCAAGTACAGTAAAGGCTGCTTTCTCAGACTCAAGTCCAGAATGACAGTAGAATAGACACACCCTACACCATGATTTGCAGAACTTTCTTTATTGAAAGAAGGCAAAAGCTCAGCTTCAGTCAGTGGGGAGATCAGGAATTCCAGGCTGCCTCTGGAGTCCACAGAAAGGTGACAGGTTGGGGTGGAAGCTGATTGTAACCATTGTAGAACATATTGCACAGATTGGAACCTTGATTCTCTGTTCATATAATGCATAGGCTCATGAAGTCTCTTGAAACAGCCCCACCATAATGTCCTTTCGTAGTGTAGGTATAGCTGTGTGCACTTACACTCCTGTTTCCCGTGTGTGTGTGTGTGTGTGTGTGTGTGTGTGTGTGTGTGTAGTGTTGTTCTACATCACTAGCACAGTGGGGTGCATAGTTACATGCTTCCTCCCAAGCTCTGCCCCAGGCTTGCACCAGGGATAGTTAGCAGAGACTATAAAGTAACAGTACAAGGAGTGTTGGGTACAGGAGAGTTGCAAGTCTGGAAGCCTGGGCCCCTGTGGGTCATCAGTCCTCTAATTCAGACAGGTATTTGAATTCTGTAAAGTTAGCTGGTCCTCTGTGCCTGTCTCCTTGTTACACAAATGGGGGAAATACTTGCTTAATCATGTCTTGTGGTCTCTAGGCACTAATGTAACATTTTGAAATGACCTTCATTTAACATGAATAGGAAAATGTAGTTAGGATGCATGGTGCTGTCCTAAAGAAGGTCATGAGAAGCCACTTAAAGTATGTGGACAGAAGCTAGTCAATGAGCACCCACAGGGAGGACATGAAAGTTATCCACAAACTGAAACTTAGGAGCTTGTGAGATCCAGAGCTGGCCAAGTTAGAGATGGAGTCAAGGATTTTGTAATCTTACTATGGAGACATGGCATCACCACACACTGCACAAAGCTTTAGTTACCATGGAAACACAGTATTACCACCCACTGCACAAAGCTTCAGTTACTATGAGACAGTATCACCACACACTGCACAAGGCTTCAGTTACTATGGAGACATGGTATCACACACTGCACAAGGCTTCAGTTACTATGGAGACAGTATCACCAGACACTGCACAAAGCTTATGTTTTTAAATGGTCATCTTTCCTTCTGTGAATAAGGCAGCATTTCTGCAGGTAACACACAGTAGGACCTATAATTCCAGCTGCCATTCCCCATGGACAGAGTGAGGATAGATGTTTGGACTCCAGCCTAACATGCTGACAGCAAAACAATATGGGCTGTCAGTGGAGGAAAAGAAATGGCTGGACAAATTAACCTACTAACCACAATACAGGACAGGGCAGAGAGGCCTAGGTAACAGCCTCCCAGGGGAGAAAAAGTACTCAAAGATTGCCTGGCATGGCATGGTGCCCACTGGACTGCCTCTGCTCTGTTGCTATGCAAGGCCACACAGTGCAAGCTGTCTGTCCTGCAGCTAGCAGTGCTCCAGCAGCTCATTAGAAGGGAATTCATGGGTGAGAGCTTTCGGAATTAAAGAGAGCTCTAAGCTGGTTGACAATGAAGACACTATGCCAACCTACAAAGCACTGTAACTTCCTTTTGACAAGGGAGTGTTGGGAGGAAGGGGCAAGCTGCCCCAGGACAGTTCTCATGTCCCTAGGAGAATGGTTCCCCTGCCTCATCAATGGCTCTTTGCTTATGCTATTTAACAAACCCAGTGGTTTCCATGGCGCTTGTACTAGCTTTAGTCTTCAGGCATACTGCATTCAGCATTTAGTAGAAGATGGAATGGTTTCAAATAATGTTAAGAGTTTAGGGAATGGTTGCCAGCTGGTAAGGTGAAAGAAATCAGTTGTCTCCTAGGAAAAAAATCACAGATAAAGTCAGGATAAAGTTGGACATCCACAGGCAAAAATAAGGATGAACCCATTTCTGTGAATTTCATGTTATCCCGATGGGAAGGAGATAATTTAGCATAACCTCAGTGTGATCACAAGTGTGAATTGGTATAGAAATTCTGTCGGTTTTGTTAAGTAACTTCAAAAACTTCAAAAGGCATTTTTTTTGGAGTGTGTAGTTGGTTCTTTTTACTCTTAGTTCTTTGGGGGCCCCCAACCAGCTCTCAAATAAAAACATGGAATCTTATTCTTACTTATGAATGACCTGGCCTTATCTTGGCTTGTTTCTAGCCAGCTTTTCTTAAATTATCCCATCTACCTTTTGCCTCTGGGCTTTTATCTTTATCTTATATACCTTTAGTTACTTCTTACTCTGTGGCTGGCTGTCTACCTGAGTGGCTGATCCCTAACGTCCTTCTCCTTCTCCTTTTCTTACAACTCGATCCTCTCTTCCCAGATTTCTCCTCCTATTTATTCTCTTTGCCTGTCAGCCCCACCTATCCTTTCTCCTGCCTAGCTATTGATCATTGAGCGCTTTATTAGACCAGTCATGTGTTTTAGGCAGGCAAAGTAACACAGCTTCACAGAGTTAAACAAATGCAACATAAAAGAATGCAACACATGATCTTTGTATCATTAAACAGATCTTCCACAGCATAAATGAATGTAATACATCTTAAACTATGTTCCACAACAGAATTGAAAAGCAATCTAGTTTACTGAACTAACTGTAAAACAATTGATCAGTTTTCCCAGCTGGGGAGTAAAAGAGAAAATAGGGCATCTTTGCACACTGGAGGAGCTGTCTGCCCAGTCTGCACAAAGAATGGAAGAGGCCATTTTGAGAGGACTCAAGTATAGGCAGGTACCCAGCTACAGAGCTGGGATTATCCCTTGGTACAGTTCATTCATATCCCACTTTCTCTCAAACAGCTGGTGCTTGATGCTGAAACTGTGGGTTTGCCCAAGTTGGAGCAGGGGACACCGGGTCCCTCTGGCAGCTCTGAGGGATTCTATGAGATTTGTGTGTGTCCCGATGGGAAGCTGTACCTGTCTGCGGCTGATGAGGCCACCACCTGCGAGGAACACAGTCACATCTGTCTCTGACCACTACCTCTTCTGCAGAACAGCTGTTATCTCGGTGAGCTGAGAGCTGTGGCCTCAGCCTTCATGTCCCCAGCATCTGGGTGGGAGCTGGAAGACTCACTGCTAAAGCACTTAGAAGATTGCATGGGGAATGTGTCCTTGGAACCGTTGGGCCTAAAGTGTCTGTTTTCAGCATGGCACAAAGAAATGTCAAGAACTTAGTCGCTGGATTTTCATCTTTCTGGCCACCTTCCACATCTCTCGTGTTGAACTGTTGTCTGGAAGTACTCAATAGCAGACATCTATCTCCTCACACACTGACTGGTGGATTCTAAAATGCACCAATTCTGCACAGCCCTTCCTTTACGTTAAGCCTCAAGTGCTCCCTTTAGCCAAGTGCAATGTGTCAGGTTTTACCAAGAGAGATCCAGGGCTTGAAGGGAGTTTGAAGTTGATAGATTGTTAATATGTAGTTAGGGGAAGAAATTACACAAAATTAGTCATGCTTTTTATATACATACCAATAAGCAATAAAAAATGACATTGGTTTTCAGACCAGAGTTTCAAAATGTGTTACTTTCCTTAATGCTCATAAAGTATTAATATTCTAAGGTATTAATTAATTAATTAATTAATTAATTTTCCTCAAATTATTGGTGACAAAGATTCAGGCCAGTCAGTCATAAGGCACAGGGTGCCAGGTAACTACTGAGATTAACTAAAAATTTGACCTTAAATTGGTATGGCCATTTTCACTTGGAGATCTCTGATGACTCTGATATACTCACTCCACCCAAAGCACCAACTATGATAGCTATGTGTATAGATGTATGACCTAATTGACACATTTAGCAGGTATCCAAGGGCTTTTGTCTCCCAGGACCATAGGGAGTGGAGAGCTTCTGCCTTCCAGGCCTTGTGCTGACTTCCACAAACAGTGTGTGTGTGTGTGGGGGGGGGTGGCTGGGTGCAGCTGCACTGAAGTAGCCATGCAACTTCTACAGAGGAGGCTGGGTGCAGCAACATGGAAGCAGTCATGCAGTGTGTGAATGCATACAGTGCCCACTGTTGCATAGGTTGATAAAAACAAAACAGTACCTACCTAGGTCTCTGTGGAGGCCACTCACTGACAATGAAAATGTCCATCCTGGATCCTGAGATAATGGCTCAGTGGTTAAGAGCGCACACTCGCCTTGCAGAGGGCCAGGTTTGCTTCCCGCACTCATTAAAGTGGTTCACAACTGCCTGTAACTGCAGGTCCAGGGGTCCCTGACACCTCTTGTCCCCACCAGCACCCACACTCACATGCCCAGACCCCAACACAGACACATACAAGTACACATAATTTAAAAAGTGTTAAGTCTTTTCAAAATGCCCATCATTCAAGGGAAGGTGATGGAAGTTGCTTGTTTTGACCAGCTATAGAAGAATCTCAGACAGTTTAAGATGGAGTGAGACCACCTAGCTGTCCTGCAGCTTCCCGCCCACAGATCTGTAACACTAACGCAGCCAAACGTGCCTTCTCATCTTAGAGTCAGGAGAAAGAAGGAAAGTGAACTCTTTTAGTGCAGTTTTAATAAGGTGCTTATCTAATGCTCTCTTCCAAAGCCCATTTTAAGGACTATCACACAGCACACAGGAAACAACAAAGTTAAAATACAGTGCTCCCTGTGAGTCTGGAGCAAACACCTGCATGGACACTGCTCCTGTGTCACAGCCATGAGCATTTTCATTTGGGTTAAATATTGATTTTTGTTTTTAATCTCTGATTTCTGTGAAATGTCTCCTGTCAAGGTCAGTCAGTCATCTATTTTGTCATTATTTACTCTGCTGTCCCATGCTTTTGCCTAACCAATGTCTTCAAGCCCACATGACCTAACACAGGATCACATTTATAAGTAAACTTTGTTCTCATACAAGTCCACAAAGGCTCCGATGGTAAAGTGAGGCCAAAGGAGAAGCATGAGGATGGAAGATAGGATCTGGGGAGGTGGCTCAGAGGGCTGGAGTCCAGATGCCCAGAACCCACTAAATGGCAGGTGGATGTAGCCATCTGCCTGTAATACCAGCCTTGGAATGCAGAGGTGGAATGCCCAGAGTAAGCTAGCTGGTGAGACTAGCCCTACCAGGGAGCTCTGGGTTTTACTGAGAGACCCTGCCTCAAAAATGGTAGAGCAATCAAGGAAGATTCCTGGCATAAAAATCTTGAGCCTGTGCAGGCAGACACACATTGGTACTAGTGTGTACTCAAGCACACACACAGAAAAAAAAGAATAAAAGTTATGAATAAAATGTTTAATTTTGTGTTCCTTGGCTTTATACTCAGAAGATATTTTGCATAGAGTCCATTCTCTGGAGTGATAAATACTTTATCCTTTGTTAGGACCAAAAACTTCAGATGGATCGTAATACAAAATATAGATATCTTATAATTAAATTTGTCTCACATTCAAGAACATACCTAGAACACACCTATGCTTATAAAGGCTAATGCTTGGTTCTAGGTTTCTTTTTGTCAACTTGACACAAGGTAGTGTTATATTAGATGACAGAATCAGACCTGAGAAAATCCTTTCATAAGATTGCCCTGAGGACAGAAAGATTATAGGAGCCAAAGATCAGAGTTTGCTATGAGACTGAAAGAAACTATGAGTTTGAGAGAGAGCCAGGAGGGGTATATCTGAGGATTCATAGGAAGGGAAGAGAAACAATGTAATTACATTATAATCTCAAAAGCAAAGAAAAAACATTGGCTTGTAAACAAGCCTAGAGGGCATTTTTTAAATTTGTGACTGATGGGGGCGGGCCCAGCCCACTGGGGTGTTGCCAGCCCTTTACCTGGGTTCTATAAGAAAGAGATCTGAGCAAGTCATGGAAAGCAAACCAATAAGCACTGCTCTTCCATGGTCTCTGCTTCAGTTCCTGTCTCCAGTTTCCTGATTTGAGTTCCTGCCCTGACTTCCTTCATGACAGATTATGATGGGGACATGTAAGCTGAAATAAACTCTTTCCTCCACGAGTTGCTTTTGGTCATGGTGTTTCACCACAGCATTAGAAACTGAGGCAGAAATGAACAAAAGGGGTTATTTTTGTGACAGACCAGGTCACATGTTTTGGGAAGATTGTGGACGGGCATTGGAACATTGGGCTAGAAAAGCCACTGAGAGTCCAAGGCTTAATGAACTGTGGTGGGAACTCAGATGATGAGACTGAGAGAGAGCAGTGTGAAGCTTCAGAGGGAGTCTGAGAGTCCTTTAAAGACTTTATCAGGGCTGATTATGTACTTTTGAGTTAAAAACCACTCAGGTGAAAGCTTTGCTTTGCTGGGACAATAAATACTGGTCATAGGGGCCTGAAGAATCAACTGTGACTAAGAAGAGACCACAGCATCACCGAGGCAAATCTTCTGGAAGAGCCTTGCCACACTCCAGATCACAGTTTCTGTGTGTGCTGACCCCGAGGAAAGAGGAAACATTTCCTACAAGATTTTGCTTCAGTTATGCCTCTGCCTCCGCCCCCCCCCTCTCTCTCTCTCTCTCTCTCTCTCTCTCGTTACACTCAGCACACAGAAGCTGTGATTCAGAGGGGCCAGGCTGTACCTGTGCTGGCAGGTGAACTTGAACTTGGTAATGTGTAAGAGTCTCCCAGGTCTCTTCTCCAAAGCATGAAGAGGTCATTGAGAACATCTGAGGCTTGGTACCAGGAGAGGCCATTGGTGAAGCTGCAGCCTCAATTGCAGTAGACGTCCCAGTAGTTAAAGAGGGCATAAAGAGAAATTGAGGTTTGACACCACATGACAGGGTCAGGATCCCCAAGGAGAGCCCAGCAAAGGCTACTGATGAAGGTACAGCCCAAGTGCAGCCCAGAATTTTGGAGATGCCAGTACCATGAGACAGCCACCAAGGACAGCAGCATATGTGAAGTGGAACCCAGCTGAGCCTAGAAGACAAGTCACATGTGCTGTGGATGGCAGAGCTGGAGAAAATGGTTGCACAGGCAGTGGTTTTATAGCCCAATGAACATAACAGAATCCAGGCTCCACCTCTGATAGCATCCTGTGAAATGGACACTCTGATGGTTTGAAGAAGACTGGCCCCCATAGGCTCATACATTTGAATGTTTGGTCATCAGAGTGGTACTACCTGAGAGAGATTAGAAAGTGTGGCCTTGCTGGGTAGGTGTGGCCTTGTTGGAGGAAGTGTGTCTCTGGGGGTGGGCTTTGGGATTTCAAATGTCCAATCCAGGCCCAGTGGCTCCCTCTTCCTGCTGCCTGTGGATGCAGATGTAGAACCCTATCTATTTCTCCAGCATCATGTCTGCTTGCATGCTGTCAACTTCCTGTGTAACCCGAATTAATAAAAGACCCAGGAACTGATAATGGGGTTCAAACTTCAAGCTGGCCACTAGTTTCTTACCTCTACCTCAGGCTGAATGGGCTGGTCCTGTCTCCACGAGCTCTCTCCAAGCCTCAGACTGTAACCTCTCCTCAGCATGGCTGGAGAATGAATGCTCCTGTCTTCAGTGTGGCTGGAGAATGAATGCTCTACTGACTACTGAAGACCCTGCTCCTATCCTTTATACCCATCTAGTGCTGGAATTAAAGGCATGTGGTCTGTTACTCTAATTTTAGACTGATTCAATCTCATATATCCCTGGGTGGCCTTGAACTCAGAGACATCCGTTTACCTCTTAATCCTAAATCCTGGAATTAAAGGTGTGTACCACCACCTCCTAGCTTCTGGCTGCTGGGATTAAAGGTCTGTGCCTGGCATCTATGACTTGTGGCTGACTAGTCTTTCTGAATCCTCAAGCAAGCTTTAATGGACTAAACTTCTGAAACTGTAAACAAGCTCTAATTAAATGTTTTACTTTGAAAGAGTGGCTGTGGTCATGGTGTCTCTTCACAGCAATAGAACCCTAAGACAGAAGTCATTTACTAAGACAGACACACATTGTTTTCTGAAGGCTGCCAAGTTCTTATGATAGGGCAGAGCTGTGATGGCAGAGCTCTCCCTCAATTCACCCATAGCTGTCTCGGGGAACAGCAAATGAATGTAAAATGTCTGACATATAGCATGGTTTTCAGTGTATCTGATTTGTGTGGGTGTTGTCCCTTCCCTGATTTAAAATAACAGTGGGTGTAGATGGGCTTCAGCCACCCACTACATGTTTTAAGTTTCACTATCTACATTCTTATAGCTTGGAACACAATGCACTTTGCATCAAATATAAGCCAACAATTTAAATAGTGTGAGCACTGCATACGAAAAGCACACTGTTAACAGAGTAGAGCACAAGTTCATTTCTGGCTTCTTAGAAGCTATGGCTTGTGGTACCCCCTTTCCTTCATGGTCCATTGGCCACCAGTCTGGGGACAAAGGGGTGAAAGACCCGCTCGGAATGCTTCTGCATGCCCCCTGCCCCTCTGTCTTCCCCGCCTGTGCCGGTGCTGGGTGTTCTCTCTGGAGCAGGCGGGAGGAGCAGTTGACTGAGGGCAGCGCGGTGGGGACTGAGCAGGGCAGGGCCAGGGTTCGGC